AATATTTGGCAATATTTTATCATCAATTATTGTATAAAGTACTCAATAAATAGCTTTGTATAACAAAAACTGATTTATATTTAAAATTTTATTAAAATATATATGTTTTGAATTTACATGTCCAAACATGTTTAAGACTAATCTGATGTATGCGTGACGCAGTAGTCTAAAAACCAATGCCCATCGTAGAGCCCTGGATAAAATTAAACATATTTGATAAACTATTACAATGCGATTAAATAAATAATCTTTAATAAAATGTTATTAAAACCCATATTCCGTATAACTATGTGCTTAATAATGATTATATAAATAATGAATATCTTTATAAGTTAATAATAAATATATTGATAATAATAAAAATAATATTGAGTCTAAAATCTAAAATTACAAATTCTTGAGACAATCCATATATCTTATGGTCTTTTGTTCGCTTTCTTTCAATTTATTTTGATTTGAATTTTGTCTCAATTGGGACTTCCTTTCCAAACACTCCCATAACTGTACGAAAAATACAATGAATGTCATGCATATTGTATTAATTGTTTAATTATTAGATTTTGTTGTATTTGTATATAAAAACTTAACATTCAGCATGTTTTGAACTAACTCGTAAACTTTTTTTTGCAATGTTTTCATTAATGTATGAAATGTTTAACAGAAATACATGAAAGCGATGCCAAACGTCAAGAAACTGCTGTTTATTATCAAACAATTTCTATTACAACGAGATTTGAATGAAGTGTTCAAAGGAGGGCTCACTTCCTATTCACTCGTCTTAATGGTCGTCCACTTCTTCCGCAGCCATAAAGAAGAGAAAAATTTAGGCCGAATTTTGCTACAATTCCTTCAAAATCATAGTAATTCTTAGATAACTATTAGAATATTAGAAATACAGTAAAATAATTGTTTAGAAAAGTAATGTTTTATTTACTATTTTAATATCATTTACAAGAATTGTGTTAATTTTGGGACAATTAGTGATTAGATTATGAATTGCTTTTTGAGTGAACTTTTCAGTGCTTCTATTGAAATGAATGGTTTGTATTTTATTGAGTTTAGACAATGAGTTCAATACACTATCCGTTATAAGTATTTTCCCAAATATTATGTACTGAAGACGTGGTAAGTGTTTGTCGATATCACGAGTAAAGTCTTCGCCAGAAGTTATCATTTCAGACCATAAAGTGAAATGAGTGATACGTTTGCATTGGTTTAGTGATTGACTGTTGAATACAAACTCTTTTGGGAAACTTCCATACATTTGCAGTCGTTTTAATTGATTGAAGTATTCATTAATTGTTTGCATTAATTGAGACAAAAGTTCGTTTGATTTTTCAAAGTCGTCGTCAGAGTCAGTGATGTTGTTGTATACCCGGGTGGCAAAGACTATATTATGGAGTCCAAGTCTTTTAAGGTGATGACAGTTAACACCAATTGGTTTCAATTGATCACAATTTACATTCTCGTACAAAGGATTAAAACTTATCTGCAAATCGCATAATTGTGTCATTTGTGTCAAACCAGTCATTAGTATAGCGATTGACTTCTCACTACACTTCCAATCTATTGCCACATGAATTGATTTCATTGTCTTCGCGTAGCTTTTGACGAATACTTCAAATCCATTCACGTCTTCAACGGTGTATAAGAAGCGAAAGGTTTGTAATCTTTGTAACAATACATCATTTGTCGGATCAGTTAACACAGCCGACAATGAATTGCCACAAAAATGGCATTTAATTATTATATCTGTGAAATACTTGACATAATTGTCGACACACTTCCAGTTTGTGGTGTCTTTGGGATCAGAGTTATCCGATTGAAGTGATTTCAGGTTTTTGCCAAATTTTATGAAAAACTTAGCGATTGTTTCGACACTTAAGACATTAAACTCAACACAAATGGCTTTCAAAAGATTGCAATGTTTTATCATTAACTCAGACATAGGTTTATCGATGGCTTGAATGAATGGTACGAGTTTTGGGATGTTTTGACACTTCTTTAGTATCCATTCAATGGATTTCTCATTTAGTTTGAAGTCATAGAAGAACTTTGTTTGTGTGGTATATATGAATGTCTGCCACTGTTTGGACACACATTCACATCGGAAACGGTCTTCGAGAGTGAGATAAGACAAGACTTCTTCACACAAATCGTCACCAAATCTGTCGAAAGAGTCTTTTCCGAAGATCTGGGTTAGTGTTGACTGACTTCTTGATGGCATTCCTCTGCGGTTATAATCAGTGATGAGTTGATTGAAAACACGTGCGACTAATGTGTGGGAGTATTGGCACTGAATGTGAGATTGAAATGCCTTTTAAACAACACATGCTTTACATGTCATATGTATTGTTCGGTATTTATAGTGAACTCTATAATGATGTCAAATGCGATTCACCCATAAAATCACAAGACTTGGCACACCTGCAGACAAATTGCAGTCAAACCACATGTTTAAGTTGTTTTGGGATATGGATTACATTTAGTACATTATCTCAATAAAGGGATTAAGTGTAGGTAAGAGTGTACTGTATATTTGTGCACAGTTTTGTGTGCTAGGTCATGTGAAATCATGTTAATTAGTAAAACAACACTTTAATTGAAACCATATTTTATTTGATTGTAAAACATAGAAATAAATAATTATTACAACAAATGGTTGTTCACACGAATGCAATATATTATATAATAGCAAAACAGATCATTACAGCAGTTATTATACAACAAATTACTTGTAAAACAAAGTAATTACTAATTAAACTGCGATTTATCAGAGTTTATAATTTATAAATTATATTAAATAAGTTTTATTAGTTATGTTTGTATGGTATGAATGATAAGAATAGAGATATTCATATTGAATGACAATTATATTCAAAAGTGTTGGCCGTCTATGCATTGGCTTTAGTAGTGGTTGTGCTCTGGTTTTATAGCTCCTTATCGTATCACATGTCCGTCCACTTCGGCTCTCATCCCTATCCCACAGTCCACTGGACTCACCAAACGGTACACCTTTTCTTAGGGTTGGGATTCATATCAGTTCCGGCCTTACAGTTAAAGCTCTGCGAAAACTCCTTGAAATTACTTAACGCGACGTTCACTCTATGGGCGAATACAGTGTCAAGTTATTTATCAGTACTTGTACTAGGTTAGTTTTATCGTATGTTAAGTTTGCACTAAATTAATGGATGTATTGATCGGAGACATACCTGGCCTGGGATGGGCTATGAGTGTCGGTGTCTAATCGGGTTTTAAACATCTCTGGCGACGACTTACTGCACCAGTTCTGCACAGGTATTGAAAATATTCATTAATCATAACATTTACTATAATTTAGACCAAACCATAGCAGCGCTGATCCAAAACAGCTGTTTCGGTGTATATTTAAGGCCCGGGAGCTGTAATTCGTGGCCAAATTTGTCCGTATATTTCTCATAGGCATTGTAGGCCTCCTTAAGGGCGCCGTTATCTGCGATATTCTCTTTGAGGGTTAGGTCGCCATTGATCTTCAGACCATTGGTCAGCTCATAGCCGCTGTACTGCTTAACCATACACTGAGCCTTCGAGTTGTAGTGAAGTCTCGTCTCATTTTTCCACCAATTTCTCGCATTTCCTTAAAACACACAAACTTTTGTTACACTTATTGTAATCACATATAAATGTTTGTTTTCAATATCAATACCTATTTCGTCGAATTGTGCGCCGATATTGTCTGTATATTCATACAAAAATTTGAACTTGTTAATAATTTTAATCAATAATTAGATAATTCTAAATACAGACAGAATATTCTGCTAATTATATGGCCGTTGTTTTGGTTATGCCATTAGTTTTACAGTATTTAACTAGAAATTATACAGTATTAGTAACAAATATGTTATATAGTATACAGAATATTCTGTAATAAACTATAACTACAATCACTACTAATGAAATGAAAGCATAAGTTACGCAAGAATTGAGATCCAGACAGTAATGTTAGGTTAATATCTCTATTCATACCAAAGGCGTGAGTAATTTCGTGGCCAATAATATAGCCAATGGTTCCGAAGTTCATATACTGTGGTCTGTCGTTGTCGAAGAATACATCCCTCAGTATTCCGGCCGGTATTACAATGGCGTTGGCCTGAGACCAGTAAAACGCGTTCACGTTTGCAGAGTTGGCAAAATTGCGCCAACTTTTACATACAGTTCACACAGAATTGTTAAAATGAGTTAATGTTGTCATCAATTCAGTTATGGTAAGAAAAATATTTTAGAAAAGTATAGGCATTGTCTTATAAATAGTATTATACTTATGAGTCTATTTTAATACCTTGGATTTATAATTTACTGTATTATTGAATTGTTACTAAAAAGTATAGTTATAAGTATACTGATAAGTAAGACATACTCCTGGGGGTCATTAATTTCCCGCAATTTCTCGAACTCCCGTTTTTGGGCCCAATTCCTTAACCGACGGATATTCAGATCAAAGTTATTGTCCGTTAAGTTTAGCTAAAAATTATTCATTTGTTAAATAATTAACAAATTATAAATAAATAGTGATCACAATTATGACATACAGTCCTATAGTGTTCGTTGACGAGCGTGTCGTTTGCCAACTGATCCGGGTATCCAACCACTGCGGACATCATCTGAGACTTTTTGAAGGCGTTATCTTTGGTCTCTTTGTCCATCCAATCGTTTTTATGAAGTATTTCATTGAATTCTACTCTCAGATAGTTTACCATTTCTGTCGCCTATTGACAGGACACCATCAAAAAGTTTATGAATTAATTAAATTTATAATTATATTTAAGACCACTATTTCTAATGTGTAGCGAAAGTTATAATACTGTGAATACAAACCTTTTCTTTGAGAGTACTATTAAAGTGGTGTTTGGTATAAAGCGATGATAATGCCATCGAAAGACTACCCGTCAGTTGGGACAGACATGTCTTCCAACGGGCGATCTTTTCAGTGATACCATAGAGATGTCGGTGCAGATTGTCTCTCATGTCGCGCATCTCTTTACTGCCAGTGGACAGGGCCTGGAGGGCGACCCTCCACAGCATATAGTTGGCCAACAGTCTAATGTAGTCAATAGGTTAAGAATATTCTGGTATAAAATATTCTGAAGCCATACCTCTTCTCATTTTGGTTCACATAACTGAGTATATGATCGATGTGTCCCATAAAGTAGAGGTTGTCCACCATAACCAGCTCCCTGGCCGTTATATTCTCGTCCAACTGTACGATAGCGTTGGCCAATCGGATCCAGTCGTGACCCATACGGGTCTGGTTTGAGGCCATGACTTCCGTCTGTTGTTTTCGTAATTAAAATATAATTTTATAATTATAATTTGATTAGTACCTTATACTGTACTAAATTAGGTGAAATTAATTTATTAGTACAGGTAAATATTATTTTAATATTTTCTAAAATTTTGATATAAATTGTCTAAATTCAATGTAAATATTTTAAATGTTGTGAATTTAATGTAAATTATTTTTTCATTCAATTCAGTGCACAATCAAAGTGTGGTTTAAGGTGAAGTGATTGCACACAGTTTACCTTGATTACAATCGAAGGGTATGATAGTTCGGCAATACTTTTCCCATAAATAAACAGCTTATTTTTATAGACGCAATACATTAATTAAAAATATTTTTACATTAATCACTAAAAGTACTAATAATTTGTGCCATAAAAACAGTAGTCCTGGCATACAATGTAAATAATAATAATAACCGATCCGTTGCGATGAGGACCGGGAGGTAATACTCACTTGATTGGCCACATCAGCGAATGCTTTCAAATGCAAATACCACGACTGTTTCTTCTCTCCATGAGCCGGGTCATGGGTAGCCTATCATTCACAAAAATAATAGGTTAAAATAAAATTCATTGATTAAAAAATATCATAAATTAAATACAATATTTAGTGTCACAAATTAGAGACATGGGAGCAATAGTTAATTTTTATGGATTTAAGCGACTAATCCCTTAGAGACAACTAATTAATAAAACAATTACTGATTATAACTGTATTTTCACACTTGGGCTCAATTGAGTTATCATTGATTGTATGATATGAATGTTAATGAGTGCATCGGTTTATTCATGCAATATATCACTGACTGAATCAACTGATTGTAGTTTATATAGTTTGCTATTAATAATGAATATTCAAATACCTGTGCGATCTGTGCCTCCAGTGCTATCACATCCCACATCTCATCCTTGACTCGTGTCTTATTATCGGCGCCCAAAAGCATAGCCGTGTCCACCATTAGCTGGTGATACACCTGGACTATGGAGTTATTGGGGCCCAGAGTCATGATTTGACGCCTCAGGCCCAGAGTCGGCTCATCTAACTGTTTGTGAAAGACATACAAAAAAAATAAAACTTATTATCAATTGCTTCCGATATTCACTTAAATACAAAAAAAAATAATTTTTATTAAAAAAATTAGATTTGTTTTAAGTGTCGAAAAAATAATTGTCACCAAAAAACAACTCACAAATAAAACTTTTTTGGTGTTATTGAGGACATCGGCGATCACTTTGAACTGCACGAACATATCGGCCCTAAACCCTAGTTTCCTAATCTGTTTGCTCACATGAATCCAGTCAAACGTACGGTTATCCCAGTCCTCGCCCACCAGCACCGGCCACCCGCCCAATGAGGTCAACGCCTCCCGTAATGGTTCTGCGCCGTAGCTCTCGATAGCGGCTAACCATTAGTTATATACAAAAACAATTATTAGTCGTTGTATGCGAAAAGTATGTCAATTATTGAAAGTTTTGTGATTAACTTTTCTTATTGTAATAGTTTTATACTAGTAAAGCAATTATAGATTGTATTGCTATCGTATCTGTATTTTGTAACAATTTGTGTAATGAATATAGTTTTATTAATTATAGTAGATAAGTATGGTCACTAATAATGTTAGATTTATTTTAATACTGTCCATAATAAATTGCTATTAGTTTTAGAGGTTTGCTTGTATGCCTAAATTTAATGCACAATAAATATTTTGGGTATAATATAAGTTGCGAAACCTATTTAAAAGTAATTAATGATATATTAAATAGCAGCTACTAAAAAATGAATTGGATATAAATTGTTTATTAATTATGAGTGTATCAGAAAGTGAAACAGCTTTCAATAATTAATTAATAATGAGAAAAAGTAAACAAAAATATATGCTCAATGTGAATTTCATACTCAAATTCATGCACGACTTATACATGTTTCTCATCGTAACGATCGCTGGCATCGATTCGTTTGATTTCTCCACTAAATCTGTACATAAAATAACACACATTTGAATATATGCAACACAATTAATCTATAAATATATTATATAAACTAATTAAATATTTACTATGCTATAAATCAATATTTACTCAAATATAACACTT